TCGAATGAGGAGACGAGAGGAGGAGGAGGAGGAGGAGGAGGAGGGGGAGGAGGAGTAGGAGGAGGAGATGGGAGGAGGAGGAGGGAAGAGGAGCAGGAGAAGAGAGAGAGAGAGAGAGAGAGAGAGAGAGAGAGAGAGATGAGAGAGAGAGAGAGAGAGAGAGAGAGAGAGAGAGAGAGAGAGAGAGGAGAGAGAGAGAGAGAGAGAGAGAGAGAGAGAGGAGAGAGAGAGAGAGAGAGAGGAGAGAGAGAGAGAGAGAGAGAGAGAGAGAGAGAGAGAGAGAGAGAGAGAGAGAGAGGGAGAGAGGGAGAGAGGAGAGAGAAGAGAGAGAGAGAGAGAGAGAGAAGAGAGAGAGAGAGAGAGAGAGAGAGAGAGAGAGAGAGAGAGAGAGAGAGAGAGAGAGAGAGAGAGAGGAGGAGGACGAGGAGAAGGAGGGCGAGCAAGTAGAGGAGGAAAGAGATAAGGAGAAGGAGTCCTCGTTCCTTTGCTCCTATAGGAGCAAAGGAACGAGGACTCCTTCTCCCATCGGGGAATAGAATGGGGCATCTGAGACAAGAATTCCACACCCCCTCGCTTTAGATTTCTCCCCTGCGGTCCACGGCGGCAGCTGCGGCACCGTGCTCGTGCGCCATGGCGCCGCAGAGGTTCGCGAGCAAGCTTAAGTGCCCTCTGTCGGCGCAGGGGCACGCACCCGAGCAACGCAGCATGCGGACGAGGATGGGGGGGTGGAGGGTGGAAACGACGACGAGCAGCGTGAGCGTACGATCAAGGTGTCACGTCGATCGGCGGCGCTCGATGTCCACTGCCTCCACGAGGCGAATTACATCTTAGACTGCCTCATTTGAAGCGCGGTGATGCATTGTTTCTTAAGAAACAATGCATCATTATTTATAATTATGAATGTGGAAGACGAGCGGGAATGAGCTAATCTGCGAAGTGTGTTATCCATAATAAATTAGTGTCAGAAGCTTTTTCCGGAAAAAAAAAAACATGTTGTTTTGAAAACACTCAGTGTTTTTAGCCAGATTCAAATTTTCAGAAAATGTTGACCTCTGGGTCGGGGCGGGGGCCTGGCCGCGCGTCGGCGCGTCGCGCCCCCGCCGCGGCCGCGCGCGGCACGCGGCGACTCACGGTTGGCCCGGGCGCTCGAGAGGGGGCGCGCGGCGGCGACGTCGACGCGCGCGCGGCGCGCGCGGCGCCGGGGGGGGGGGGGGGCAGTGGGCTCGGAGCTGGGTTGCGGGTGATCTCCCGACCGCGGGACAGCAACGCGCCCGCGGAACAGCTCGCTGGAGCCGACGACCCGGAGGCGGTCGAGTCGATGCAGCCCGAGTCCGAGAGGCATCGGGACACCCGCCTCGTTGCGACGTCGCCCCTCGTCGGCGCCCGCCGGTGCGCCGGCGCGGAGGGCGAGGCGCGGGGCGGGAACTTTGATCATCCGCGCCAGCGACGCCTCTCACGCCGTGGGCGTCTCGGAGGCGAGGGCGGCGCGCGGGGCGGCGCGGGCCCGGGGGGCGGCCGACGGACGTGGCGCCGCCCGCAGGGGGCGTGAAGGCGGCGGACTCGGGGCGCCCGAACCCCGCTGCAAGGGCTCTCGCCTGCTGGGGGGGCCGCCCTGGGCGCGGGGCGGCGGGGAATGCCGCGGGGGGCAGCCGGCAAAAACCGCCAGCGCGCTCGGGCACCCGCGGAAGAAGCGCCCCCCACTTGGGGCGCGAGCAAGGCAGACGACCCGAGCGGGGCCCAGGCGGCGCGGGGGCCCCATCGACACGTTCCTCGATGCGCGGCCGCCCCTGAGGCCCGGGGGGCCCCGCCCGGGAGCGAACGGACGGGGCAGACAGAGCCCGGGGGTGCGCCTCGGCAGTGCCCAGGTCCAAGTGGAACGCGCAGACGTGAGCAGTCCTTCTCGCCGAGCTCGTGGAGGACGAGGGCCGCTCGCGGGGGCGCCGAGCCAGGAATGGCTACCGCGCGAGGGGTCTAGAGGCGGGCGACCTCGGCGACTTGAAGAAGACGGACTTCGACGAGCATCTCGGGGCCCGCGCGGCGGTCGCGGGCCCGGGCGGGCCCCGAGATGCTGGCGGGCCCCGGGGGACTTCGTTTCGCGCGGGCGGTGCGCGCGCTCGACGCGGCGACGCTGGCCTCGTCGTGGGCGCCGCGGGTCGACCGCCGAGGAAGACGCGGGGACAGCCCCGCCCAGCGCGCCGCGGGCGGGGCCGCGCCAGCGGGGCAGGGGGCAGCTGACGCAGCGCCCGGGCAGGAGAGGGCGCCGGCGAGGAGGTGGAAGCGGCCCGCGCGCAGCTCAGGGGGCGGCGCCCGCGCGCCGCAAGGGTGTTGCGGCGGCGGCTCAAACCCCTCCGCCTGTCCCCCCCCCCCCATCGACGTCGCATTTCCATTTGGGAACCCTGCGGCCGCGTCGGAGGGCGAGGGCCCCCTCGGCGGGGGTCGGGTCGAGCCTGAGGGGGCGCCGGGGGCGAGGGAGGAGCCCTTGGGCAGCCCCTGTGTTTTT